CCCTCCATCTCTGAAAAGCAATGGGAAAAATTTCCTCCAGTGAGGATAAAAAAATAAAAATAATAATAATTAAAGCATATGAGTAAAGAGATCATATTTGATGAACAGAGCAGGTAGATGGAACAGGTAAATAAGAAAATTATCAAATGTGAAGGGAAAAAAAGTCATCAGAAAGAATAAGATTTTAACTTTGGATTTTAGCTTAGAAGATCCAGAAAAATAAGGTTACAGAGAAACTATGGTTTAAAGGCACCAAAAAGGGACTTAATAAGGAGTTCATCTCCAAAAGATCTTCACTTGATAATAATGATTAGACTCAATATCATAACCTTAGCCACTCTGATCAGACTTTTTTTTTCTTTTTTTAATTTTTAAATTTTTTTTTTTATCAGACTTTTCTTCATCACCTCTTCCCACTATACCCTCAGGATCTCCAGCTTCTAAATTTAAGGACTTATGAGCAGGAATCTCTGTAGTTTCCCTGTAAATATTAACAATGGTTGCAGATCCTAACATATTTTTTTAAAGCATGCCTTTTTTAAAAAATTGATATTTTTAGAGAGAGGAGAAGGGAGAGAGGGAGGGGGAGAGAGGGAGAGAGAGAGAGAAAGAGAGAAAGAGAGGGGAACATCAATTTGTTGTTTCACTTATTTATGCATTCATTTGTTGCTTCTTCTATGTGCCCTGACTAGGACTGAACCCGCAACACTGATGTATCAGGACAACACTCTAACCAACTGAGCTACCTGGCCAGGGCACAATTCCTAATCTTTTTTTTTTTCTTAAATCCTCACCCCAGGATCTTTTTTCCATTGCTTTTCAGAAAGAGTGGAAGGAAGAGAGAGTGAAACATCGATGTGAGAGAGACACATTGATTGGTTGCCTCCTGCACTTGCCCCAACCAGGGCCAGAGCCTGGAACCAAGGTATGTGCCCTTGGCTGGAACTGAACATGGGACCCTTTAGTCCATGGGCTGATGCTTTAATCACTGAGCCAAACCAGCTAGGGCATAGATCCTAATCTTTTTTTTTTTTTTTTTTAAATACATCTTTATTGATTTCAGAGAGAGGAAAGGAGAGGGAGAGAGAGAGATAGAAACATCAATGATTACAGTGTCATTGATCGGCTGCAGCCCACAACCTGGGCATGTGCCCTGACCGGGAATCGAACCCTGATCGCCTGGATCCTAGGTCGACGCTTAACCACTGAGCCATGCCCAGCCGGGCGAGATCCTAATCTTAACAAGCTGCTTCCCAGGTCTTTTCCTGAAGATCTAAATTGGCCACACCTTGGGTCTACTCCTGTACCACTTACTGTTCAGGTTGTATTTGGAATTAAGATTCCTTTTGGTGTAATAAAGGATAGCAGGCACTTTCCAATTCATGTCAAACTGCACAGCTTCATGCTATAAAAGAGAAAGCACTTAATGGCCTACATATATGCCCCTTTCCCCCAAGTCAGACAGAAGATAGGAC